TGCTGATGTTTGAAAGGTGCAAAGGTGTCGTTGAATTCGTTGTCAGGCCAACCTCGTTCCACCCAGCTGAGGACTCATGCCAAAACGGGATCCCATTTTGTTTCTGTGGCGATGTCTCGTGCAGTCAGCGGTGGTGAGGGAAGAGTTTCAATTTGGAGTGCAGTTAGGGTTGGAGCTGGATCGTCGATGGCTTCAGGTAGAGGGGAACGACTCAAGGCGTCAGCGTGGGGAATGGCTTTCCCCAGGCGGTGTCGCAGTTGATAATCGTATGCGGCTAGAAACTCTGACCAACGTGTCATTCTTGGCAATAAAATGTGGGGAGTTGGTTTGTCTCCCGCTAAAATGCCAAGCAATGGTTTGTGATCGGTGATTATGGCAAATGGTCTTCCATATACATACTCATGGAAACGCTTAATGGCAGACACAATAGCGAGAGCCTCTTTATTGAGTTGGCTATAGTTTCTTTCAGTCTTTGATAAGGTCCTTGAGAAAAAAGCAATAGGTGCCTCATTGCCGTTTGGCAGGACATGGCTCAAGATGGCTCCCACTCCAAACGGTGAGGCATCGCAGCTGACAGTTAAAGGCAAAGTCTCGTTATACTGCATTAATACAGCATCTGAGGTTAAGAGGTCTTTTACTTGTTGGAATGCTCGCTCTTCCCGATGTCCCCAGACACAGGAAGCCTTCTTGTCGAGTAGCCTGTGTAGGGGCTCAGCTATAGTCGCCTTCTGGGGCAAGAAGATGTTATAAAAGTTAATGAGTCCCAGGAAGGCTTGGAGGTCTGTCTTATTTCTAGGTCTTGGGGCATTTTTGATTGCAGTTAGTTTTTTTTCGGTGGGGTGGATTCCCTGTCTGTCAAGAAGGTATCCAAGGAACTCCACCCTCTCCGTACAAAGTTGACACTTGTCTTTTTTTACCCAGGCCAGCGTCTTTAAATTTTTGGAGAACCATTCTGAGTCGTTTTTCTAATACTTCTCTAGTAGGGGCAGCTATTAAGACGTCATCAAAATAAGGCACGACCCCTTTTATGCCTTCTAATAGTCTCTCCATCAGACTTTGGAAAATGCCCGGTGCCACGCTTACTCCGAATTGGAGTCTATTGCACTTAAAGGCACCCCTGTGGGTGACTATAGTCTGGGCTTCTGCAGTCTTCGCATCTACGGGTAGCTGTTGGTACGCCTGAGTTAAGTCCAATTTCGCAAATATTTTTCCACCACCCAGGGAGTGAAGAAGGTGTTGGACCACAGGTACCAGGTAAGCGCTCTGCTGAAGCGCGTGATTTAGGGTGGCCCGGTAATCCCCACAAATTCTTAACGATCCATCTGGCTTTATGGGTGTTACTATTGGGGTCTCCCATCGGGCGTGGTCAATCGGTTCCAACACACCCTGGGCTATTAATTTGTCCAGTTGCTCATCAATCTTTGGCTTGAGTGCAAAAGGCACCCGATGAGGCTTAAGGCGAATAGGAGCTACATCGGGACTGAGATTAAATGATATAGGGGTCCCCTTGTACTTGCCTAGCTTCTCTGTGAAAACGTCCTGGAATTCCTGGACGAGGGCCTCTTCCCAGTCATTGCTTCTGGTTTGGTGGATGCCAGCTAGTTCAATTCCGAGTGGGGCGAACCACTGTAAACCTAGCAAACTGGGCCGGTCACGATCGACGACGGTCAGAGGTAGCGATGTGGTGCGGTCTTTGAAGGATACTTGGATGTGGCTGGAGCCGACAACCGGAATTCTGTTTCCTTGGTAGTCCTTTAGTATGATTTTTTTGAGTGCTGAGGTCCTGGCGACGGACGGCAGGGATCAGCTGTTTGAGGGTTTTCCAGGAGACCATCGATAGGGACGACCCCGAGTCGACTTCCATCACGCAAGGTCGATTCTCAATAGCGACTTTTACTCGGATCTTCCTTGCATCCAGGGACGAAGCGTGGCCGATAGTGATGGTTTGGTGTGCCTCTTCTCGTCTAGTTGAAGTGGCAGGTGCTCGATTTCTGTAGTAGTGGTTGTTCCATTGGTGGTTCAGGCGGTTCCGATTTACAGGTGGGTTGCCTGTAGCCTGGCGGAGATTATTCTCCCTCCGGATTGGACTGGACCCTCGCTTGCTTCTGCAGACCTTTGCGATGTGGCCTCTCTTTCCACAGGAGCGGCAGAGTGCGTCAAGGAATTTGCAGTCTGATCGCGGGTGGTTTGCCCCGCAACCAGTGCATTGGCGCGGTAGTCTTTGGTTCCGTTGGTCTCGTTGGTCGCGTTCGGACTGGAGTCGGTTGACCTCCTCTTCCTCGCTGTCTGATGAGGATTCGAGGTCTTCATGATGGGCGGTAGTAGTGTGCCTCTCAGAGGAAGACGTACTGTCCCTAGTGAGTTGGCGGTGCGGTGCGTTCGCTCGGCGCATTCAAGCGGCTGACTTCCTGGTTGCTTCTGCTGCAGTAGCGTCGGCGATGACATCTGTGAGGCTGATGTCTCCCTTCGCCATAATCTTGCTCTGTATCGTGTGGTCATCTAATCCCAGAACTATTCGGTCTCTCATGGCTTCCTCGAGGTTTGCAAAACCACAGAGTCCACCCAGGTTTCGGAGGTCAGCGATGAAGTCTCCAACACTCTCGTTTTTCCGTTGGTCCCTCTGGTAAAACTCGTGTCTTCGGATGAGTGTTGGCACCGCGGGTGCATAATGGGCCCGGAGGATCGGCGCAAGGTTATCCCAATCCATTGTCTTCACCTCCGCGGGTTTTGCAAGCGCCTTAGCCATTTTATAAACGGCGGGCCCGCAATGGGTCAGGAATACCTCTCATTTCTTGCCAGGCATAGCATCTTTCAGATTGTTGGTCTCCAGGAACATCTGGAACCGGTCCATATACAAGTCCCAGTCTTCGTTTGCCGGGTCAAATGGAGCGGGTGGTATGGCGCCGCTGGTTATCCTGCCGTTTGTTGCTTGCGCTCTCAGCCACGTGCTCTGTATTGTTCGATGAGTGCTCAGTCAGCTCTATCGTCTCCGCATCCCACCCTCGTCGCCAGTGTTAAGTCCTGAGCATGGGCGCAAGGAACGGAGATGAGGCATTGAACTGTGACTTCAACTCTTTATTAGTGACTTCAGAACAGAGCAAAATACTTGGGCAGCAGCAGCTCTTTTATAGAGCTGGCTGCTGTCAAAACAACCAATGATTTGAGTTTACCGCTCTAAGAAGTGTCCAATCAGAGGCGACCCGCTGTCAGCCAATCAGATCAGCCAGAAACGACCAATCACAACTCGCTATTCGCGGGCCAATCAGAAGTGCAGGATTACGAGCCTGCTGTTGAAGTAAAACTATTAGGGTTGTTAATGAACGCGTTAGCTTAGTTCGTAACAGATAGATAGATAGATAGATAGATAGATAGATAGATAGATAGATAGATAGATAGAT